GTGTGTTATATTATATAAGAATATTTTAATAATTAATTTAAATTAATTTAAATTATATTTCTTATTAATATAATAAATCAAGAGATTTTAGTGTAAAACCTTTAGCATAATATTAGCAAAATAATAAGAAACTTAACTATTTAAAATACAAAACTCATTTTTCTGTTTATCCAAGTACTCCCTGGATACATATCACCAGTTTAAATGGCTAGAGTCACTAAGTCAATATGCATATAAATATGCTCCCTGCCGAAATAGAAAGTAGATTTCAAGTACTATGACATAAGGTCATAATAATAAATTCTAAAAATAATTGGAGTTCCTGAGTTCAAGGCTGGCTCAATAATCATGCAAAACATCACAAAGAATAGTCTCAAAATATTTATAATACCTGTAACTGGTTCCTAAGAGAGCACAAAAACTTTCTCCTTTAAGATCTACGGGAAGTACTGGATCCTGCAGCGGTTAAAATATTGAAGTAAAAAGGTTTACAAAATGCTTTTTAACAAGAGAAGGGACAGATATGAAGTTTATAGCTGTCTGTAAAATCAACTACTTGAGTATATAGATATATTTTGAAATTCTTCATAATTTTTTTATTGCTTGAGGATGTACATGAATTTGATAGTGTACCTTGAATGAATAATTGACTTTCACCACATAATTTTCACCTGTAGGTATTTCAGATCGTTCAAATGCATATTTTCTCTGCAAAAATGAGCAAGGACTCGGAATGAAAAAACATTAATAAATCTACTTGGCGCAAAAACATCAAAACTCTTTTATACACTACAAAACATCTGAAAAGATCTAATCAGCAAACCTTAACAGGCGTCATGCTAAAGTTGGAAACTCCTAAATTCACGAGAAGTTGTGCTATCTCATTCTTAACATCATTCACCACATCCTAGCAAAACATAGGACAGAACAAAACGTATCAAACCCAAGCTAAGAGAAAAACACGGAAAAATTAAAGGTCAAACTAAATAAAAAAGAAAAGCAAAAAATTATATAACGATGCAAAGAGCGCTCCTGTTGGCGGCGCTGGGCGTGGAGGGCGTTGTACTCGTCCTCAGGGACGATGTCGTAGATAGGGTTCTCTAACCTGATTTGGGGTCTAGTGGCGTGGGATCGAGGAGCGGCGCGGCGGCGGGCCTTGAGACGGTCCAACGCTTGGGTGTGGGAGCTGGCCTCCGGTCCCCTGGGCCTTGGGCTTGGGCTTGGAGGCTCTGCGTCTGACATTGGTCTCTTTGGAATTGTGAGTCTGCAATCTGCATGGGAGAATAGAAAATCTGCCCTAATATATATAGTTTTGTTACAGAGGGCGGGAAAATATTGTTATAAGGGAAAACAGACACTGCCTTCTATTATTTCATTAAAAAAACATATCTCATTACTATTTTTAACTTTTAATTTTTAAAATAATAATAAACTACATACTTCACCGTCTTTCTTATTTTTTTAATGTATATTTCGATAATAATTTATCATTATATATTTTTTCCTTATTTAATTTAAAAATAATATAATTACCTATAACATTAATATCAAAATATGCTTAAATATAATAAAAAATGAAATAACAAAATATATAAGTAAATAAAATAAAATATATCATAAATTCTTTTTTGACATAAAAGTAAGTAAATTTTTATTTTTATTTTAAAATTAATTTTAATTTTATTAATGTGTTATTATTTTCTAATATTAGTTTTATTTTTAATAATTAATATTTTTATATAAATTTTATAATTACTTGTGTATATATAAATTAATTTGAAAGGAGAATTAACGTACACTTCACAAGTGATATTATAAAATATAACAGTTAATTGTAATATAAATAAAAATATTAAAGATATAAATATATTAAAATATAAATAGATATCAATTTGATATATATTTTATATTTTAATTAATATACTAAACATTTTTTTTGAAGATGAAACTTATTTTATTAAAAAAATATATTTATATATATATGCATTTATTAT